TGATGACGTGCATGTGAGAGTGGACTCCATTCCACTCAACTCACTCACTCTATAGATGGGTACACAGATAAAAACGATAGGCAGATAGCTGAAACATGCATTATCGATCTTTATTGGAATTTTCGGAACCGCCTGAAACCTCTAAAGTTTCAATCCGAGGCAAAAGGCGTCAAAGTCATCGTTCAGGCTGCCGAACAGCTTCTCGGCAGTGGTCCTGGCGTTGCCAGCAGAAACCCTTGCAGAGTGCTTCCGACGTTCTTGGTGCTAAGCGTTTAGGGTTTATGATGTCTCAGTGCTTCGGAAGGCGAGTATGTGGGGGTTACCGGGAGGCGTCGAAGGCTCGATGCAAAAGGGGCTGAAGACGACTTAGCGCTGGAAGCTCCGAATTTGCATCCCAGGCCCATGGGTCTGAATCTGAAGGTCCTGATACGTTGGTGATTTGTGGCCTCAGTTTCTGAGGTGAATCTAGCCTTACAGTGACAGGAACGGTTGCTATTTGGCCCTAAACCCTTCACCCGGCTCTCAAGGGCTACTGCGTAACCCTTGCTGTAGCAGCCAAGGCACCGTTCTCGCACCATGAGTCCTTTGTGGCTTCGCCTGGAGCAGATGCTGGCCTTATCTTGAGTCTTTAGTTCGGGGGTTAGGGTTGGGGTTTAGGGTTTATAAGGGGTTTAGGGTGTTCGAAGGTTTGTGGCTTTAGGCCTTCCGTAGCTAAGACAGGTATCCTTCATCAGAAGCTTTTAGTCAAGGGAGATGAAGTCTTTCGGTGCTTCTTCAGGGCTTAGCCAGACCCGAAAGACCGGAAGACACAAGCATCCAGCCGCGCCCAAGATAATATAGGGGCCTTAATAATTAAAATAGGGTTTGGAGGGCATAAAATACTATAATGCTAATAAGGAACACCCAAAACCCTATTCTAGTTATTAAGGCCCCTACATTAATCCCAAAGCCTAACACCCTAAACCCGAAACACGTCTAAACGTGCTCCCCGTTGCGTAGACCTGGTGCGTGCTCGAACGAGACCTCGTCTGGTTGAGTCCGAGTTGCGAGAGCGATTTAAGGGTTCAGGGTTTAGGGCTTAGGGTGACGTCTCAACCACCGATTTAGGGTTTTCGGGCCTTCGGCAGCGGCTTCAACCTGTACCAAGCTGTAATGCTCCTCCAGCACCGAACTCGCCCTCCAACCCACCCCCCCCCCCCAAAAGCGATAATCTGCGAACCCCGAAGCTTCAAAACCCCCAAGCCCTAAATCCCTAGTCCGCCTAGGCGTTTCTTAGTTTAGGCTTTAGGGTTTAGGGTGTAGGAACTAAGGCTTAGTTCTATGGTGGGGTTGTTGTTTTCAGGTGGAGTATCTTGTAGCTTTACCTCTCGGACCTTGTGACCAATCGCCTCGCCTGGATCGTCCGAGTTGTGAACGCCGAAATCCCAAAGACCAGCGGGTTTAGAGGTTTGGGGTTTAGGGTTTAGTCCGACAGATTGGCTCGCAAAATCGTGGGGATTGTGCGGACTTAGCCTTGCACATCTCGCCACGAGGGCGATGTGGATTTGGCCGGGCGAGCTTCAATCAAGCCTGTGTAAAAGGGGCAAATCCGATATCCCGAAACTGAAGTTCAACCCTAAACCCTCAAACCCTGTGCGAGTTTGTGAGTCGAAACCCGGAACAACTGCAAGACCCGGGTCAAAACACCCCGAGCCCCAAAGACCGCTCGTCTTCCATCTCCGAGCACGACCCTGTATGCTTCCATGGTCCATAGCCGCTTACGGAGTCATGGAAGAGTCTCGTAGAGGAAGCACACATGAGCCATGCATCTCCATGGGCATTTTCGAAAGTTATGAGATAAAAGCAGGACAGCCGACATAACGAACACCCTAGCCCCGAAACCCTGAAATAAGAGCCTTTAACCCTAAACCCTATAGGAAAAAAGCTGAGCCGCTGAACCCTAAACCCTGAAAGCAAAGGAATCAGGTCTCCAGTGCTCCCGAGCTGCTCCGGTACCTATGCACTGAGCGACCTCGCCAGCGATTGCTTGTGGTCTCATCGGACATGAGTTTAGGGTTTAGGGTGCGTGTGGCAGCTGATTGGCAGAGTCTGGGTTCAAAAGGGTGCGTGTGGTGGGGGGCCTCGGCTTCAAGGTTGGGAGTTGCTGCAAAGCTTCTTCAGGGGGTTCAGGGTTAAGGCTGAAAACGTGCAGCGTTACTGGACATTCGACCAGCAGTGCAATCTTTAACCCGTCGTAATCAGCAAGTCAGAACCCACCCTAAATCCCTACACCCTAAATCCCTAAACCTTAAATCCTAAACCCTAAACCCTACGCCCTAAAAGACGAAGCACTGGAACGACCGTGCTCTCATCCCTTTTTTCGACTCCCTACGCCCGGATGCAACAGGCACTGAAAGGAACATACCAGAATACAACATACTACAATACTCTCTGCTGTAGCAAAGACATGAATGAATGAATAAAGATATCTACATATATATATAATAATAATAATGTATTATCTTTCTCTTTCTCTCTCTCTCTCTCCCTATGTATATACATATACACACGTATGTATGCATGTGTGTGAATATGTACACACACGTGTACACACACACACACATGTACACATATACGTAAATAAACAAGTAAATATGTGTGTGTATATATATATATATAAAGACGAGGTACAGTGTCTGCGGCCGCGGTGATGAGCGAAACTGCACAAGCCGTCACTGCTACTGGAAACGGCCACTCTGTTCATGTCATGACATCCCTGGCACTGCGCTTGGAAGGGTTCCAGTGGAGGTCTAGGCCCCTAAATCCTGAACCCTGAACCCTAAATCCTTCCTAGCTAGCGGGGAGGGAAAAGATCCTGAACCCTAAGCCCTAAATCCTCAGTTGCGAGAGCATAAACCCTAAAGCCTAAACCCTCATTAAAAGGCTTGAGACCAGAGCTTCGGCCCTGGGCTGGGTTTGTGGGGCAAAGGCTCACGAAACGACTTCAGGGTCTAGAAAGTATAGGCTTAGGGTGTTTAGGGTTTAGGGTGTAGGGTGTTTAGGGTTTAGGGTTTAGGGCGTTTAGGGTTTAGGGTTTAGGGTGTTTAGGGTTTAGGGTGTTCAGGGTTTAGGGTTGTGTAAGGGGTTAGTATATAAAGGGGGATTTTGGCTTTGGGCCTTTGGGGCTCGGAGGTCCTGAAGCCCAGGCCTCAGACCTAAGCTTACCCTAAGCCCCAAATCGAACCCCGTTCTTGAACTGAACCTGTCACTATTTCTTCTTTTTTTGCAGGGGACGAGAACCCAGGTTCCGTGTGAAGACTGGGGTTCCTTAATAGAAAAATGTTGTATGGTTTAGGGTTTAGGGGTTTAGGGTTAAGGGGTTTAGGGTTTAGGGGTTTAGGGTTTAGGGTGGTATACCCCAAAAGCCTGTCCTAAGATCCCTGTAAGGCAAGGTTCAGGCAGTATGCGCCCCGGAAAGCTGTCAGGAAAGTTCACGTGCCGTTCTTGTACATGCAGCGAGAAGACTGGAAGGAGGAAGCGATAACTAAGGGACAAGCCCCAAAACCCTAAACCCGAAACCCTACCCAGGCTCAGGAAAAAGAAGATTTGCTGGTTGATCGAGCTTCAAAGAGTTGTACGATCGTATACCCCAGGTTATAAGGGCCCCTAAACCCTAAACCCGATTCTGATAAGGAAGGGCCCCTTGTGTTCAGGGCTCCTCAAGCTCTTCGGATGTTGAGGGTTCGGCCGGTTTGGGATTTGGAGCGAAATGTACACTGGGAAGAAGATGAAAGGCTGGTTTAGGGCTTAAGGGTTTAGGGTTTTAGGGTTTAGGGTTTAAAGTTTTTGGGTTTGGTTGAGGCTTCAGGGTTTAAGGTCCTGGTTAGGAACTCAAAGTGCAGGATTTCGGAACTCCGGGTATAGGTCCAACTTCCTGCACCGTTCCCGAGTCGGTCCCTCACCGTAGAGCGCGCATTGAAAGAACGCTCAATGACAAGCACGCACTCTTTAAACCTTAAGCCCAAACTCTACCCACAGGCCCCTAAGTACCTTTTTGGGATTACCTTATAGGATTCTAAACATGAACCACGCACAGGAACGACTTAGGGGCCTATGGGTAAACCCTCAGCCCTAATCCATTGCTAGCGCAACGCCGCAGGATGAGCTTCCTCATCCTCGAAAACCAAATCTCGAGTTGGCCAAAGCCCAAAGCCTTAAGCCCCGTCCTCAACTGCTTATTTCTTGAGCCCTTGGATTCTGATACCCTCTGCTGTTGCGGACGTTTTGCTTCTTAAATGTGTGTGGAAAACATAAGATAGTACAAACCAAAATAAGCTATGCTATACTACAATGCAGTATAATTTAATATCTTTCCACGGCTAATGCTGCCGGACCTAGTTTGGACTGTTCAAATGTCCGTGTGTTTTAACGTAGACCAGTAGGCGGAGGAAGCCTGCAGCAAGCGGAGGGGCCAACGCCCAACAAGCCACATGCCTTCTGCTCCAGAGTACCAGGGGCGTGCTGACAACGATCGATAGTGGCCGATGGTTAGTTGCATTTTGTGTACTTCGAAGCATCTTCAAGCTAGATCCCCAGGCTTAAATGCCAAACCTTAAGCCAAAGCCAGAAAGGAGACTTCCTCATCGAAGTACTGGCAGCACGCCGAGACATACGATGTCTGGCCGGAAGAGAACTGGTCGGCAGAAGCTTGGCCCGTTGCTCGGCAACATGTGGAGGCGGTTCATTTTTGCTGTCACGGTTCATATGAAGGTTCCTATGCTAGATTTCTATAAGGGTATCCAGAAGGGTATCTATAGGGTGTTTAGACCTTCGCATAGAGTCGACGGGTTTTGCTAGGATGTCCGGGACCGTTTCTGCAGGGTTTGATCGGATTGGATCAGCGATCTCGCCGCTGCTTGCGGCGCCGTGTAGAAGGGGGCTCCACCAAAACACTCAAATGCCTGCGTTCTGTGTATTCAAACGTGATTACCAGCCTTGCTTTGTGAGAACTGCAATCTAAGGATCCATCGTGGAAGGCCACATGTTCTGCAGTCTCGACAGCCGCAGCCGGGAAGTTTAGTGGGGTGGTGGGTTTGTGTCATGACGGATCTTGCCTGAAGGCTTCTGGTTCGCAGTCTGCTGCCCGATGGCTCGAGAATGCGTTTTCGGTATCTTGTGGTTATGTGTACTTAAGTCAATCTCAGGGCAACCATATCTATGGCAGTTTACGGATCCGGAAACAAGAGAGATTGGAAGGCCCCCGCCCCCGGAGATTTTAGGCATGCAGTCGCTGATCATCTGCTTGCCTCCTAAACCCAACCTCAAGAAGCCGTGAAGCGGCAGCTGTCCGTGTGGAGGGCCTGCCAAAATCCCCGAAATTCAGGGCTTGGGATGAAGGGCTCGGGGCCTGGACTGAAAATTTGGAACTGAAGGTTTCGCGTCTAAGGCTTACTTGTTCGGGCTCCTCTATACTCGATACCATGACGTGCTTAGTCAGATCATGTCCTAAAGAAGGTGCTGCTGACGCTTTAGGGTCCTACGGGCGCCATGTCCTTCGACCGCCCGGCGCGCTCGCAAGTGGTCCAAACTGGACGGACGGAACGGATCGAGTCAGAGTCAGTCCCAAAATGGATTCGCTGCATTTCTGTAGCAAGTTTTAAAAAGGCTTTTGTGCTTGTAAACAAGTAGGAAAATTAGAATCAGTTTCTTCAAGGGGCTGCCACGACAACTTAACTTAGGATCTGCGACTCATGCGGCTGCATGGCTGCAGGGGCGATGCAGGGCTTGTGTTCTATTTGGGGCATGCTGTGACTGTCAGGCAGGTGAAAAAGTGCTGCTCTGAACAGAGGGGTTCGGGGTGTCGACTTTGGAATGTGGGCTTTAGGGTTGGGCACAGGCACTTGCAAGGACTATCTACATGCTCGGTCGTCGTAGTGTTCGTTGTGATCGTGGCAGTGCATACAGTCGTGGTTGCTGGAAACCTTGGACGACCATTCTTTGTGGATAAGAAGAGGTGCAACTCTTCCTCGATACCCCAGCACAAGAAACTTATTGATGTTTGAGCATGGCACTTGCTTCGTCGAAATCCTTAGTACGTGCCTGCCACGCAGCAGCTAGCCTGCACGCTGCAACTGCGCGCTACTTTCTGTCCACCCTACAACTCTAAACCCTACCTTGCACCTTCAATATATATATATACACACACATAAACTATATACCTGTTATATATTATATATATATTATATATATATATATATATTATATATTAATATACATGTGTATGTATATATATATATATATATATATTATAATATAATGTAATATATGTAAGATAGTATAATATAATATAATATAATATAATATAATAAGCTAAAAAATATATGCACTTTGATTATAATATACTATAATATATTATGTGCACCTTGAAACCTACAAGAAACTCAAAACCTGTACTGTAGGTGGCAAACTCAGGATCCAGCAACTTGACGTCCCGAAGTCATTGTACGAGCTGTGGCACGCTCCGGTGACCCGGCATTGATACACGAAAATTACGACATCGGCCTGGCTTGGCTTTAGAGTTAATGTTCTGATGATTTCGGTTTCAGACTGTTCAGTAGTTTGGCTCCAGGTTTTGGAGTTTGGATCCCTGCCTCAAGGACCTCCATGGTTGGAGGTAGGATTCAAGGATTCCTTTTACAAGAACTCTCATTCCTGACCCTCAACCCCCGGCCAAAACCCTCATACTGAACTCAAAACCAGAAAGCCCTAAACTGGCCAGAACCCTGAACCCTAAAAGCCTCCATCGCAGCTTCTGTGCCCATGTGCGCCCTCAAGCCGTGAGCCTTTTTCCCTCCTGTTGTTCAGATGCAGGCTGTCTGGTCTTAGCATATGAACCATAGCCTCATAACTTGAACCATTTCGCATCCTTAGGACAAGGATCCACGAAATGCATCATGTCTACATATATATGTATGTATGTATGTATGTATGTATGTATGTAGGTATGTATGTATGTATGTATGTACATACAAATGCATACATACATACACACACACACAGAGACGTGCATACGTCATACATGCACGCACATTTCTGCCAATACATGCATACACACATACACACACACACATACATACATACATACATACATACCTACATACATACATACATACATACATGTATATGTATATGTATACATATGTTTGATGTACGCATGGCTGCATGAGCAGATGGTCCCCAGGAAGGAACACTGGGGTTTCGGTTTTCAGGGACTCTGAGACCTTCGCATGTGATTAAGGCATTCACTCAGGCTTATCATTCTGATCATTATTACTGTTATTCTTCTTCTTAGCCTCGTTAGTTTTCTCATTTCTAAACCTGTTGCTGTTGTTGTTGTTGCTGTTGCTGTTGCTGTCGTTGTCGTTGTTGCTGTCGTTGTCGTTGTCGTTGTTGTCGTCGTTCTTGTTGTTGTTTTCTTAAAAGAAACTATTGTTATTGCTACTATGATTGCCACTGCCATCATGTTTATAATTGTTGTTGGTGTTGTCAGTACTATGATTGTGTTTATACTTGTCATCATTTTTGGTTGCCACTGCATACTTGTCATCATTTTTGGTTATCGCTGCTATGACCCATGTGATGATGATGATGGTGGTGGTGATGGTGATGACGATGATGATGATGATGATTTCGATCATTACCAATGTTATGGCTATGTGTATTGCTACTATTACGAATAGTAATTTAGTACTGTTTCATAATCATCTTCCTCATCATTATTATTCTTATGATGACCGTTATCAGTGTCACCATCACCATCACTAGCATCATCCTTAGACGCTAAGGAAGGAAGAGCGTGAGATGCGTATGGTGGCTCGCGCGAACATGGGCCTCGGCACCTACCTCGGCAGCCAGAGGTCAGGGTTCAGGAGTTCACGGTTTTAGGCTTTCTGGTGTATATATGGCTTCAAGGAGTATAGGGTGTGAGGTTTTGCTGGCCTGTGGCCTGCGTTTGGCATTTGGGGCTTAGGGGTTGCGGCACCCTGATGGAATGGCACCAGGAGGCGTTCAAGCGGTGTCGTAGTGCTACGAACACCTGTAATATATATATATATATAATATGTACATTTATATATATATATACACATACATATACATATATACATACATACTATAGAATACTACAGTGTGAGATCCCATGAGGCTTTCTAAACGTGCGTGCGAGCCAGCGGGCCTGGAAAGTCTGAATCCATGAGACCCGCCTGCTAGAGAGCTGCAGTTCCTAAACCTTCATACCTATAGTCTCCATTGTAGTTCCTTTTTGGGGTTACCTTTTAGGATCCTCAATATAGATTTGGTTAACCAAAAAAAGGAACTACAATGGAGACTATAGGTATACCCTAAACCCTAGAACAAACATCAATACAAATCCATCGGGTTCCCTATTACATTTATAGTAGAATCTATCCCAAAGGCCTCCTCACTTGTTAAGGCACCAATGTTCGACCCGCAAATTTCCCGGGCCAAGGGAAGGGTGGCGGATACTTTGAGCGCGGAGACTCAGCCAGCCGAGGCGAGCTGTCCTTGGGGCCCCAAATACCCTAAACCCTAAACCCTAAAACCTTTCCCTAGGTTTTCAGTAGGGATTGTCTTGACTGGAGGCCCTCTTCAACATTATAGGCTTGTCTTGTAGCATCCCAAACGAACCTCGCTTGTGGGCTTTGATCCTTAGCTCTGCGAGAGGGGAAAAAAAACCTTATTGAGGATTGGCTTACTTTCTGCCGGGATGTATTGGTTTAAAGAGTTTAAGGAGTCTTGAAGTAATGTAGTTCACACCATCTCACTGGAAATCGTGACGATTTCAGGGATCCCCTGGTACTTCCCATCTCCCACTCCTGGGGGTTTGAATCATCCTGTATGGGGTCCTAGGCTCACCTGATACCCATGATGGGACTCCAAGGTCGTAGTGCCTGAAATCCTTCACCTTAGGTACTTAGGGGCTGAGAAGGTAACCTTTGACATTTTGGGGCGTACATACACCTATTATAACTCAAAGGTTAACCGTTTTTGGGCTAAGGTACTCGGCCCCTAAGGGTAAATAGGTGGTGAGAAGGATTTTTGGGGGGGGAGAGCAAGCCTCTTCTCTTTTAGGAGTCGCTGCCCAGGCTGCTTGCTCCTTTCCGTTTCACTTCAATCAGACCACGACCACATGCCTCGTCTGGAGTGTCCGAGTGTGAGCGCCGAAACCATACCGAATATATATATATATATATATATGTATATATATATATATGTATATATATATATGTATATATATATATCTGTATATATTTGTATATATATCTATATCTATATATATGTATATATATAACGAAGGGTTTAGACTTTAGGGTTAGAGCTTAGCGTTTAGCGAGGATCGGAGGCCGCCTTCGTACTTCGAACGGGGTTCATCGTGTATATTGCAATAGTAGAAATACGGAGCCCTAAGGAAAAATATGAGCAGGTGCTCAGGCTATCCCCTAAAAGCCGAAAGTTCCAAAACCCCTACACCCCTCGAGCGCCATACCCTGCATATTTTGTATCGTCATTTCTTGTAGCACGAACAATGTCTTCGTTTTAGTTGATGAAGAGGCGGACAGGTAGCCGATGAGAGGTTGCGGACCCGTCGTGGTGACCACTTCTTGAGATAGACGGAGCAATGTCTCGGTGATGGGTGACTCCTGGGATTTTTGGGCTCTGCGGGTGGTTTCATGGTTTTAGAATGTAGAATGGTCTGGGTCACTTTTGCAAAAGTTTTGGGGAGTTCTTGCGTGACGGAACTATGTGGAGCCTTGACTGCTTTGTGCGAGAGTGAGAGTCGAAACCTTAAGATCCGACCTAATAAGCCGTCGTTCTGGCAGGCAAGACTGAAAATGCAGACGGCAAGAAGGGAGGCTTGGTGCCTTGGCTGCAGCCGTGGGAATAATAACAATAATACAAACATTACGACTAATGTTATTACTACTAATACTCGTCAAAATAGTCTGAATATTCATGA